AAGTATGTCATTCACCAGTGGTCCGCGATATACAATACCTTAAATTGTTTAATGATTATCATATCCATTGAGCGCAATAACAATGTGATATTAGCAAGCAGACATTCCAGATGGGTGTTATTCGAGCACGAAAAATTAGAATGTGCTGTATAATTATTAAAAAGTAGAATAAAATATCTTGATTTCCGTTTTCGCGTTCTATGTCATTATTCACTTTTTAAACATTTTAGAAGTCATCTAAGCATTCTAGTTGGAATACTACTAAACTGGCAAAAGGTAAATTCTAAAACCCTAAATAACCTAGGCTTATGTTATGCCCAATAACAGACAGCTTGTTTTTATAATTTCCTGGCATTTAGGAACAATATAACAAATATGTAATCAATTGCTTTCTTTGAACGTGAGTGTTGTATTCATAACAAAGGAAATTGTATGAAGCGGAATAATAAAGCCTGCTTGATCGGCATTATAGATAACATCTAGGCTAACTTTCTGAGCTAAGGTATGAAGACCAAGATGATGTGGCCTTTACTATAATTGCAGTCTCCTTTCGTTGTAAAGAAGTTGTTCGACCTTGTTTTATCAAATTGATGATATTATCAGGAGAACCTAGAGAAACGCATCAGGCCTAGAGTCCATAGTATACATGATAATGTTAAGTCGGATCGTGGAATTGGTACATTCCTAGATGCTATAACGGCATCGTCAGTGAACCTTGCAAATCTTAGGACCACACTAGAATTGTCAGAGTCTAATAAAGTCCCAATTAACCAATTGTCTGCTAAACAGTTATGATATCACTTCTTTTGTACTGGTAGGTACATCTACCCTATATTCTGATAACACCCCTATAATATCACAATTTCTAAACAGCTTATCTAAACCTAGTAGAGATGGCCCCTTTTAATCAGATTTTAAGACTAATTCATACTCTTAGCTAGCATCCTCACCCTTCTGTGCTGGGAATGTTGACCCGAGGCAACCCTAATGGTCTGCCGTTTAATTTTCCAGATTTTTGTTCTATAAAAGTCATCCTAAGCAAACGACTGGGCTGATTAACCAATTACAAATTAACTGAAATCCACTGCAGCAATTTCTCAACTTGAATGATTCATTAATACTTTTTACATATGAAATAACTTTCCGGAAGGCACATGAGAGCAAATGTTAAATATAGTTTTGATGTGTGTGAATAGGATTAAAGATTAATATCTCAAGAAGCGCATGCTGAACATGAATTAGCATTCCAAGGTGTCCATCACTTAAAAGAGGGAAACTCACAACGGATTGATCGAAGTCGCAGGAATATGAGGAAAAATATGAAGAAAGCTAGTATGATATGAAGAAAACTTTCAGGCAGCGATGCTAGAAAAAGAATTAGCTGAGAATAAATTAGAAATTCAGAGGGCATCTCTATCTCAAGTTTGATAGTTAATCAAAATATCAGAGAATAAGTAAATAGTTATTAAATATAATGGATCTGACCCACCACTATAATATTTTTATTCATTCTCGAAAATAGTATAGACAATTGTTGTAATAAACACATTTTAAAAAGGGTCCAGAAAGATGGGCTTCTGAGATGGAACTTCATATTGTAATATCCGTATTGAGTAGGTATTCAAAACTACCAGTAATGCTTGAATAAGAGCTATGATGTGCGACAGATAGATGAATTTGTCCACAATTATATGAATAGCCGTCCGGTTTCAATGGAATTTCACATATCTATTTCACGATGCTATTTGATATTCAATGGAAACGTGAGATCTTTTCATTTTATTGCATGAAAATATAACTATCAGTCCTTCATCACCTATGAGACCTGATATTAATATATCTAAACTGGAAAATTAATTGCTATGGAGTAGTAGTTGCAGAGTAAAAGCATAAAGTATAATTAAATACTTTTATGTTAGTTACCGATTACACCAGGATCCTGAGCGAATCTTTCAGTAAGTTTGCTTTCAAGGTATTTTGAATTTTCTAAAAAAAGAAATACAGAAAGGATAGAATTAATGATAAATAGGTTAATTAAATTTAGAATCAATGCTAAGTATACAAAACCTATTATGATGTCATGCTTGAAAATTGAAATTGAAATACCAAACATCAGGATAACTCAAAAACTCCAAAACAATGGCATGAAGACCTAGGGGAATGTATCTTGTTCCGAGTCCAGAGTATCATGAAAAACTCCAGATTCGGACCGTGGACTTTATACATTCCCAGACGTTTCACCGACATCATAGTCGGCATCGTCAGTAAGCCTTGCTTTTGAGAGTACCACACTACAAATCGTCAGAGACAAGTTAAGTCGATCCTCTGAACAATTGTCTGAAAACAGTTGCAGTATCTCTATTTCAGTCCTTGGTTATTCACCTATTTATATCCTCGTCCCACCCATTCAATATCAAACTTTTTTATTCGTTTATCTAAACCTAGTATTCATATGGATCTTGGATAATTACTTCGTACTTTTGTCAGATTGAAGAGGAAAATTGGAAGACTTTCTGAAGTTTGTGAACCTGAATGATGGAAAAATTGAATTCACGGTGGAAAGAGAGCGGTTACCGTTCCTGGATTTTAAGTGATTTGCTCTAATTGGACGATTAAAAATAAATTGTTCACAAAGAAAATCTTATGACAGGATAATACTTAATTTCCGGTACCATCACAATTACAGGCTAAAGATAGGAATAATGAGGAGCAGCATCATCCGAAGCCTACGCTTAACCGATGTAGAATTCTGAGACGAGGAGTTGGACAAATTAACTAAGATATTGCTCGGCAACGGCTACCCAATCGAAGTGATAAAAAGAAACATACGGGACGTGAAAAACCAATAGCAGAACTCGGACTATGAAAGAACAGTAAGAAGGATGAAGGATTCGCAAAAGTGGATATGCCTACCTTCCAGCAAAAAAGAGACACCTGGGTCAGGAATCTATCGCTAACCGAAGGAAAATGAATCGCGATGAGTAAAGTGAGGGGGGCGGGGAGTTTTGGCAATCAAGCGAAGACGTTGTCAATTAATGATGTCCGTTCCGAAAAAAACAGTACACCTTTGGGGGCCTGGCAGTCAGGGAGCTAGGCGGACGGATAAGCAAACCGTCACAGAAATCCGACGTTATGCCCAAAATGTACTAGAAATCCACTTAAGATTCAGCAGGCGACCAGAGATAGGCGTCAACAGTTTGCTCAAGTTACACGGGTTTAATCAAGGAGACGAACCGTGATCTGCAAGCATGGCAATCAGAGCCTATGCGCTCTGCTTGGTGAGGTGGCAGGGCCTTGAGAAATAGCGCCCATGTAGTGAAACGCAGACTGGGACTGAACCCGAGTGAAATCAGTCAACCAGATAGATAAGGAAGGGATCTACGGGACCATGAAGGGGATCCGGATTGGAGGCCCGAGTTGGATTAGCCGATCGAAAGAGGGGGTTGGGGTGAATAGCAAGTGTGATGAGGCCACACTAGATTTGCCGCAAATAGTACCCATTTTGATAGGTAGAATGGAAACAAGTGAGAAGTTGTGATAGGGCGGGAGCCCCCTGATAACAACAAGACCAAGTTGTGACGAGATCAACCCAATTCTATAAATTGAAACGAGACTGTGACTATACGGAGGGCCCAGATGAATAAGATTTAAAGGCCAGCTTTGTCTCAGTCTTATTTTACTGCATAAAATTAATTTGACTCCATTTTCAGAATTCAGTCCTATTTTCAGTGGGACTTTGAAGAACGCGCCCTATGCTACATGCTATGTAATTGTTGTCACGTTCTCTTCAAGCCCGGATTGTTAGTCGGATATAGTTTCAAACAATCGGCTAGGATGATAAAAGGAATCTTGGATGAATAATGACTTAGCCTTAACTTAAGCTTTCAATTAGATACTTTTACGTCAGTTAAACCCTTGATGTCGTATTTATTCTAGTCGTCTATACATCATGCATTCCAAAATGTTGGACTAGATTTTGCAAAAAGGTACAAACTGATGGGAATGTCGGGCTTTTTACAGTCCTATTTCGAGTTGGACTGCCGGTAAACCTCCTTATAGGTTTATCAACTACCTGAATGAGAATTAAATTCAGAGTGTTCATGCCAAGCCTTCAGCAAAATAACGCATTAGTGTGAAGGCTTAATAGATTGATGATGATGAACCTAACATTTCGGCTGAAAAAGAGGGTGGAAGGTATTCGTAAATTGTCGTAATCGGAAACCGAAGAAGGAATTCTTTAAAGTATTTCATACACACAGGATACCAAGCCATAAGCTAAAGCACATGTCAGGATCTTAGGATGAAACTTTAGTTTATTTATTTAAGGAAACAAATGCAAAAACAATCACATTATTTTCCGTTTAAGTGGGTTTTCGAGACATCCTATATACATTCACATTATGATCATAAATAGACTTTACCTATCTGCAAGCACCTAGGATGAGCACGAAGTGGTTAACCAAATCATCGGGATCACAAAATTAGGTCAGATTTCATTTGGCCACGTTTCCTGATTTTACGTCTTAGTAATTGGCAGCTTATGAGTAACGGAAGCTCCGCATAGAATAATAGGGATCCCGAAACAATGACGAAGCGTTCTTTGCACAACCCAACGTACACAACTCCAACCCTCTAAATCCGAGGGGTCGATTCACGATTACACTCGGCCTAACCTATCTGAACTATAGAACTCCGATAGAGCATAGCCACTTCTACAAACATGAAATATACTTAGCGTCATAAATAATATGTTGTAATTAAAATCGCATTACTTCACATATAATCATAAAAAATGTAGAAGAAAGTATAATAAACATTTGTACAGTTAATTAGGGATATACAATTATTTATTAAATGAGCATGACTCCCTTTGAGGGTGCGTCAATGATAAATAATTTCAGAAAGGCCACATCACTGATATTATTAACGTAGCCTCTGCGATTTAGTCTTATTCAAGTCAATAACTCGCAAGATGGATTAAAATAACTTTTACCAAAAGATTAAATTCCAGGACTTAGCATACCAGCATAAAAAACAGCAAATCCAAGAGCAAGCAGGAAGGCCAAGACGCAGATAACCAGTAGTAGGTATGGCCAGGTACAAAGCCATTTTCCCGGCACCCCACGATGATCAACCCCAAATGCATCAAGGCTGCCTGTGTCACCGGCTTCTCCAAGACCCTCTTCACTCCTTCCTCGTCCCTCCGACCTGCCTGACCGGCCTGATCGGCCACGAAGAGTACTCGAAGGTCCACTGCCCTCAAGCCCACCAGCTCCCGTTACAGGGACCAAGAGTTGGCCTGGGTGTTTCGCAAACAATGGCTGTGAACTAGCTACACCAACTTCTGCGGCAGAAGCTGAGGCAGCTGCCGCAGCCGCTGCAGCTGCAACGGCGCTGGCAAGGCCTCGGGGTTGCGTCATTGGAGATGGCAGGCAGGCAAGGTTGCCACTGGCTGTAAGGTGGTGCAAGCCAATGGCGGAATAGGCTGGATCATATGGGCTCCCGGCAAATAAGCTAGCCTGTTGAAGAGCTGTAAGTTGATGGTGATGGTGTGGGGGAGGAGGAAGGGGTGGTAGTGGAGCAGCAGGTGCGGGAGGTAGAAGCGCCTGAGAAGCAGGAGTAAAAAGGCCAGGTTCAAGCCCACATAGATCACTAGAATCTATAGTACTATTACCAACACCGATTGGTGCCATACTGGTAGAGGGCACATGGATAGTACAGTGTCCGCCAGACGTTTCGCCAGTAGCTAAAGTCATTGTGTTATGACCACTGCTACTGCAACATCCCTCATTAGAGGTAGATGTAGAACTCGATGTGCCTTGATTGATTGTAGACTGCTGCGAGACTAGTGGGCGCTGAAAATGTTGAGGCTGATGCTGTTGATATTGTGCTTGCGAAGGCTGGGTTTGTCCCAACGGTTTGCAAAATCCATCTTGGCTTATGGATAAAGGTAATCCACCGCTTTGAGGCAATCTAAAGGGAGGAAAGAATTAATGAGATAGTTGACAATTTAAATTTTCACGAATATTTTCGTAATTATAGACGAGCACCCTTGAACTTTTCGAAAAGAGCTAATAACTTATACATAAAGCTTTTAGGAATCTCTTTAAATAATAATATAGTCATTGTTCCGAAAGATAGGCGAGAAAATGCAAAGGTAAAAGAGTTATATCCCTTAAAGTAGTCGCGATAAGAATAGGGTTACTTTGCTCTGTAGCAGGTTAAAAAAACGAGATTCATTTAAGGCTCTTAAAATTAGTGTTAATAATAAAAGGTGCTTGATATATAAAAATATAAATTATAAAGAACTAATGAGTGTTTGAGATGCAAGGACGAGAGTAAATCATTTCAAAAAGATGATTTACTCTAATTCATAGAGAAATCGCTATCAATCAAACAACAAATCGAGCAAATCAAAGGAAAGAGATGAATACGACAATATTGTGATGGCTTTCATTTCGCGTAAAAGCGCATGATAAAGAGATTCGAAGATAAATCTCACCAGAAGACGGGGATTTCTGCTGATCTAAATATGTTTGATGTTTCATGACGTTCAGGTCGACGCCGTCCACAATTTATCCTCTCTAGATTAATCTGAAAGTGGACAGAGCTTTGATCCAAAATAGGACAGATGCGGTCCCATTCATTAAAATGGAATTATTCAAGAATGGCAAAAGGCATCGCGAGGACTATTCATTTTATTGTGGGAAATTTAAAAGCATGATCTTAAGCTATGAAATAATTTATAATTAGAACGCGCCTAGGTCAACAAGAGTCAAAGACACAAATGGATGGATTTTCACGATTTCTTGACAACTAATGTAGTTCTGAATGAGTTGGTAAGCCTACAGGATTAGTATCACAAAAGTGAATATAGCTGGAACAGTCGCTAATCGAACGTCTGAATTTTTGTAGATTACTCCCAAATCCTAATTTTAGATGAGCATAAGTATTATTAACCCATTCACAAAGGTTAAATGCAAAATACCTTATCATTTGTAATGTTAGATGGCCTTTATTATTTTGCATTTACAGGGCTATGCATCATAAGAAACAAAAAGATAAGCTTTAAGCCATGTTCTATTTATGCAGGACATAAATGTTGGACTCATCAGTCTTCCCAAAAAAATTTAAACCAACTTACCGATGGAAGTTGTTTGACCTTCGGCAACTTGGTCATATTGGTAGGAAGACTTAGAGGAACGCACCTTGTCCGGAGTCTATTATATGCATCATCATTTCTAGAGTAGGACCGTGGACGTGGTACCTTTCCAGTCGTTTCGCCGGCATCGTAGTCGGAATCTTCAGTGAGTCTCGCCATATTACAACTCGTCAAACAGACAAGTGAAGCCCATCCTTTGACCAAGCGTATGCTAAACAGTTGTGGTATGTCCCCTTCTGCCCTGGACTATACACATTTCCTATATAGATCTATCATGCTTTCCCTGTCCAAATTTTTAATGTAGTGTGGTGTGCTCCACAATGTCGTTATCACCGCCCTTCAAACCTTGCGCTGGGAATGTTGACCAGTATGTCATATTGTTACGTAATCCTTCCCTAGGTCCTATCAAAGTCTCTCTCTTGCCCTGTCGAATCCGTCTGCTATCTCCCTGGTACATGTATTTCCCTCGACCCCTGCCATCCCCCATCTGTGCTATTCGAGGCGTAATCCCCTGCACCTGAGAGTTTGATTAGAGGCTAAAGCCTCAGAGTAAGTCTCATGGTCATGCCTTTGCTACATGGATCACGTCTCTTGTAAAACCTACTGTCAGCCAACTAGCTCCAATCGCCGCCTCGTCTATCCTGTCTCTATC